CATATTGTAAACTATTTGATCTAAAACAAGAAGTTCAACGATGGCAGGCTCATCATCCTGACATTATATTGAAAAGTTATTCATTACAAGAAATATGTTCAGTTTTCAATTTGAATTCAAGTGAGTCAGATCATTCAACATTAAATGATTCTTTAACTATAGTCAATATTATTAGATATATATGTTCTTTAGCACATTCTGATGTTTTTGTTAATCCAATTGATGCTGAGGCTGATTTTAGTCAATTTAGAAAAGAACAATCCAAAGTAATCCATTTAGCAAGCTTGCCTTATGATGTTACTCAAACTGAATTAGAATCTTGGTTTTCAATTCAAGATATAACACCTATTGCATTATTGACAATTAAATTTCCAGATGTTTATCAGAAACCAAGTGGTTCGGGTTTTGCTATATTTTCTACTCATGAAGATGCCAAGATTGGTTTAGAAATGAATGGCAAGGTTTTATGTGATAGAATAATTGAAGTTAACCCAAGTAGTGACAGGGTAATAGAGGCTATAGGAGCAATATTATCATCATTTCCGGTATTTTATTTAAAATATACATACATATATTATTTTATTTTAAAATATACATACATATATTATTTACAAATTTTAAATATTTATATCTTTTTTCCCTTTTCATAAGGTGAATAAAAACCGTATTCGTCCAGGTGATTGGTCATGTTCATCTTGTCAATTTCATAATTTTGCTTCAAGGAAAACTTGTTTTAGATGTAACGCAATTGTATATGCCACATCAAGTGTAAAAATTAATTCTTATGAATCCACAACCATCACTACTGATACAATCATTGATGTTAATGATAAAAACAACAATTCTCCCTCTACACCACAATTATCACAACTCAATTTTAATTCTGATGAATGGGTTTGTCCTGACATTCAATGCAATTATAGTAATTTTCCAGTCCATGAACAATGTTTAAAATGTGGTGTTAATAAACCTAATGAAATTACCACTACTCCTCTTGATGGCAATAGCAATAATAACAATAATGATAATGAGGTTGAAGATGAAAACAGTATTGTCAACAGCAATAGCAGCAACAATGATGATGGAGACAACATCATTGACACCAATAGCAGCAGCAACAACAACAAATATAACAACAACAACAACAATAATAATAAAGACAAAAATAACATCAACCACATCAACATTAACAACAACAACAATGATGATGGTGGTGATGGTGATGATGGTAATGATAATGATAGCATCAACAACAACTACAGTAACAACAATAATGGCTACAGCAACATCAATAACAACATCAACAACAATATTAATAATGACAAGGATGGCAGCAACATCAACAACAATATTAATAATAATGAAAATAACATCAATGACAACAACAACAATATTAACATCAATATTAATAATGAAGAAGATGACATTAATAATAACATCAACAATATTAATAATCATAAAGATGGCATTAACAACAACAACAACAACAACAATATTAATAATGATGATGACATCAACAACAACAACACAAATAATAATGATGATGATGATGATAATGATGATGCTCAACCAGTACCATCACCCTCAACATTATCATCTTCAACATCCTCATCTACAGCATCCTCACCAATTACAATGTTTAGAAATGGTTATTGGATTTGTCAAAATTTAAATTGTCTTTTTCGAAATTTCGCTTCAAGAATTCAATGTATGAGATGTGGGTCTTCAAATGTTATAATACTAGACAACTATGCCAATTTATCAACAGATCAAGAAGCAGATGATGCAATAACTTATATAGCAACACCAAATTCCGTATCAACAATAGCAACACCACCAACATCATCATCAACAACAATGGCATCAACAATTTTATCATCATCTTCTTCTTCTTCATCTTCATCCTCATCTAATATTAACAATGTTGGTATTAATCATGGTTTATTATTACCAAATTCTAACCAATTTAGACCTGGTGATTGGTATTGTCCATCTTGTAATTCTCACAATTTTGCATCTCGCCTCCATTGTGTTCATTGTAGTTTTGCCAAGTCTGCCTCTTTGACTAATAATAATAATGATGATAATGATGATAATGATGATAATGATGATAATGATGATGTTGTTAATGATGTTGCTAATGGTAATAACAATAACAATAATAGTCATAATAATCATAGTCATAATAATAACTCTACAATTACTACTATAAATTCAAATAATAGTATGAAACCTGATGATTGGGTATAGTATGTAGTTTTTATAATTTTGGAAAAGAACTCATTGCATAAAATGCAGTATTCTGAATGATCCATCACCAAAAACAAGTAATAAATGAGTCTTTAAATTGCCAATAGAGTTAATAATATATATAGATAAAAAATTTTAATTAAGAAAAATTCTTTTGACCTTTGTTATTTCATTTCAATTAGTTGTACTTAATTGAATACTTTTTATTTCAAAGAAAAATAAATATTAAAATGAAAATAAACAGGACACTATCTATACTTATCAAATTTTGGGGACATTTCTGTGAAACCAAAATCAGTGATGTACATTGGATGCTTCATTAGGATTGGAAGTCACAGACCAATGGTTTATGTGCATTGGAATTGGACTTTGAACACTCCAGCCAATAAAATTCAAGAATAAAAGTACAGAGCACTCAAATAAACGAATAATTCAAGTAAAATGAACAATTTGAATAAACAAATTAAATGAACAATTCAAATAATCCATATAGTCGATTTCTTTATCTGAGTCTTTTTCACTTGATGCATATTCTAAATTTTATTCATTATCTGATTTGTTTTAAATGCGGAGTTTGCTTATTTCATCTTGGCCTTTTTTTAATTGGAAGAATGTAAATTTGTTAGTAATGTATTGTTTGTTGATTACTTACAAAAAAATATGATGATGGTTTTCTGAACTGAAATTTATAATTTATGGTTCGTTAAACTTTTTTGTTGTAAATAACTTTTATTTATTAATAAAAAAAAAATCAAATAAATTAAACGTATGTTGTAGAAAATATTCTATGAAAAAAGTTGTCACACGAAATTTTACTTGGTCTCAATTTCTTAAGTGCATAACAAAATTCGGAATTTTCAAAATGCTAAGGTTCAGCCAATTTTTAGTTTAAGAAAAAACCAGTTGATAAGTTTTGAAGCTTGAGTCATGAACAATAAAACTTGACGGTTAAATTTTTTAAAATGAGATAATTTTTTTTTTGTTTTAGTATTATCTAGGGGTATGGGGGGACAACTCAATGTAACACATATAGATTTGTCAATTTAAGGGTAGGGGGAATCATGTGTTAATTTAATAGTAAATCATGGCTCAATTTTTTGCCTGCCGGGTAAAATGTTGATCAATATTTTTATGAAATATTAATATACATTAAAATTTCCTATAATAAAAAATTAAAAAAAAAAATTATATATATATACATATACTGTATATATTTATTTATTTATAAATAATAATCCCAAGAATGAGAATATATCATTTCTTCAGCACCCTCAGCAATATCTATAATTTTGGAATTTGTCAATGACTTATACCAACTGACCATTTTTGAATTGTAAAAATAAAATAAAATAAGAAGCCTTCGTGTAGAAATAATTACTAGTAGATAACAATTTATCAAATATTTATTGAACTTTATTATTTTATGAGAATTTTTTGCCAAATAAGTATTTTATATTATGGAATGTGTAACTTTTACTAGGAAATGAGCAGGTGCTTACTAAGAAATGAGCAGGTGTTTACTATGGAAGGAGTTATGTTTATTTTGAAACGTGTTAAGTTTTTTGAAGAAATTTACAAATTTTTATTAAGAAGTTTTGCTTGAAGTACTTTCAAATAGTTAAGAAACACCAAAATTAGATATAAATAATTTTGAAGTTGTTTCAACGTGTCTTGCCGTTGTTTTACTTTTAAGACAATTACTAATTTGGGAAAACTCAAATTTTTGAAAAAATTGAGCCCCGGATTTACTATTAAATTAACACGTGATTCCCCCTACCCTTAAAGTATGTGATCAACAACGGTTATTAAAATTGGCCAATCAGATCTTAGTATATGATCGACAAACTGCGGTTGAACTGCGGTTTTAAACCATGGTTCAAACTGGTCTAACACGGTTTTTAAACTGAACTGAACCGACTCAACCATTTAACATCCCTACATTTTTCTCCCAAGTGTCCGTTTTGATCTATGCTACATAAACATGGTTGTTTTTTCTTGAATTTTTCTTTTAATATACAATATTCTTTTTCTGCCAATGAGAAGTCGTTAAATGTTTTAAAGTAATCATTCCATCCTTTTGATATTTTCTATATTTTAGTATTTCTTTTCTTCCTTCTTTATCATATTGATCTTCATTATACAGTAGTATTTTTAAGATAATTTCATTTGGTAATAGTGGTAGTTTTCCTTCTGACTTTTTTATTATTATTTTATTGTAATCTCCTGGCCAATACCATCCATCACTCTGCCATTCTTCTAGTCAATTTTCAGTAGGTGTAAATTTTGTATCATGATTTTCTTCCGATTCCTTTCTTGCAATCATTATTTCTTTTGTTGTATAGTTGTAGCAATCTTTTCTAATATGCCCTAGTTCTCCACATTTGTTGCACTTCTTATTTTTACAGAACTTTTTGATATGTCCAAGTTCTCCACATTCTCCACACCTTACTTTTGGACAGTTTGCATATGCATGAGTGGTTTCTCCACAATTACTGCATCTGAAGGTTCCTTTTCTTTCCCAATTATTTTCATTTTCCAATTTTCTCAGTTTGTGGATTAATCCTTCCTGCCGATTTGTTAATTCGAGGATTTGTTGTCCTACTTCTCTTAGTTCTTTCTTTTTCTCTTGGAAGATTTCTTTCTTTTGAACAATTTCTTTTTCCTTTTCTTCCTTTTCTATTTGTTTCATCATCAGTTTGTATTTGAGATTCTTCATTTCTTTGTACTCTTTGGGTTGGAACGTAATTTGTTGGTTTTCCTGAGTATTTTGATTGGTTTCTTGGTTCTGGTTGGTCTGTTCCATTTTTTAATTCTTTATATATTATTTTATCGTTTAATTTTCTTGATTTTGATATCCTTATAATTTCTTCCTTAATTAGGTCCTTTTGTTTTCTTAGATTTCCTATTTTTTCAATTTTCTTTTGTAATTTGATTCTTCTTCATCTACCTTTTTGATTTCTCAATTTAGTTTAATTAATTCTTCGAATTCTTTTTTAATTTCTTCAGTATTTTGTTTAATTATTTCCTTCCGGAGTTTGTTATATTCTTCTTGGATTTTGTTAATATTATTTATTTCTTTTTCTTTTTCTTTTATGAAATTATTCATATTGTTTCTTGCTATGTCTCCTTCCTTTCCTTTTTATAGATCTTTTCCTTCTTTCGATTAGTAATTTTCTTAATACAGTCATACCTCTTTTATATCTCCCCTTGTTTATATCCCATCCTTGATTAAATCCCACTGATGGGCCATGACGGATTTCCCTATATTATTTTGATATAAACTTTACCTCACTTATATCCCAACTGAGTTATATCCCTATCCCCAAATTTTTTGAAACGTTATATCCCCATTTTAATCTTATTTGTACATGATATACAAGTGTAACCAACATTTTAAATTTGACAAATTATTTTAAATAGCTAACAAAATTTTTGCTTTGTTAACAATAAAGAAATTATTTTGTTTTTTTAGTGACAACTTGGCTAACTTCTTTGACAATAAAAAAATTAATCAGAATTATTCTTTTTTTTTTAAGCAGAACTTTGTTTATTTTTTTTACAATAAAGAAATTATTTTTGTTTTTTTTTAGTGGTGATTTGGCTGATTTCTTTAACAATAAAGAAAATTTTGTTTTTTTAGTGGCGACTTGGCTAATTTCTTTAACAATAAAGAAAATTTTGTTTTTTTAGTGGCGACTTTGACAATTAATCAGAATTAATCAGAAATTTTGTTTATTTTTTTTTAACAACAAAGAAAATTACTGTTTTTGTGTAGTAGTGACTTGATTGATTTCCTCAACAACAAAGAAATTATTTTGTTTTTTTTTTAATGGCGTTTAACAATAAAGAAAATTATACTATTTTTTTGCAGTTGTGGCAAAGTATCTTCTTTACATGTATAAAAGAACTTGGGTTTTACTTAAGCATAACATGTACACATCCTTTTATCTTAATAATTGAATAAATTTAAATTCCATTTATAAAACTTCCTAATTTCAAACATTTTACTCAAATAAACTAAATCGACCAATTAATAAACCCATTGAAAATAATGGATAATAAAAAAAGAAAGCAAAGAACTCCACTTACCCTAGAAGATAAAATAACCATTATTAGAAAAAAAGCTAATACTAGTATTGTGAGATCAAAAATTCCGTCTCATACAATCTATTGATTTGGTTATAATATTACTTATCCCTTCCTATGGCAGTATCCAGTTGTGTAATTCTTTGATTACTTTCTTTTCTTTATAGCGTTCAAGCTATTTAACTCTCTGCAGGGTAAGTTTTCTTACTTCCCATCCGGTAACGTTTTCTCAGCAGTTGCTATGTTTTCTGCCTGAGCCGGAACGTGTCAATTATTATCCCTTCTGATAAT